TGTGGGAACTAAGCAAGGTTGCCTTCACCCCTGCCAGCCGCCCCTGGGATGTGGGTACTGAGCAAGGTTGCCTTCACCCCTGCCAGCCACCCCAGGGATGTGGGAACTGAGCAGGATGAAGGCAGAAAATGTGTATGGTGATCAGAGTGGTGAGCTAGAGCGCTGGTCTAGACACAGACACAGCACAGTCGTTTTACTTCTCACTCACACTCAGACAGCAGCCGGCTCTGCAGTGACTCAGCCGCCAGCAGCAGTAAGGAAAAGACTGCCCATTCCAGGGTCATGCTAACCTGCCCCTGGCTTCCTCTATACACTTTACCCTTCCTCCCCAGGAACCTGCCTGAGGGCCAGGCCCTCAAGAGGGCCAGCAATGTCCCTGAGGCTTGTCCCTCAAACTGCGTCTCTCTAGGCCAGTGGGCACATTCGCCAGGACATCACCCAATGAGAACAAGCAAAAAGAGATGTCTTCGTAGGAGGCCCTCGTCCCACTCTCAAACAAACAGGCAAAGGCCAGGGATGCCCCAGGCACAGGCCCAAGGAACGCCAGGTCAGAGTAGCCACTGGGGCCCTCATAGATCACCCAGGGCTCTGTCCAGCTATGGGGATCCAAAGGGGACCGGCTCAGGTAGATTCCCATGTGGAGCCGAGCTCTGCGCCCTGATGGGTGGGAATACAGCAGCCATGTGGGACTCTGAAGCGGGGAAGCAGAGGACATGGGGAGTTCTGGGGTCCAGGCTGTCTTATCTCTACCTGACCCAGGTTCTAGGCCGTGTTTCACTGGGCCCCAGGACTGTGGGGAGCCGAATGGCCCTCTGGGAACCCAACCCTCAACAGGAACCCCAACATCTTCCCCTGAAGACTCCTGTACTCCAGGATAGAAGGATGGGGACTGTGGGGTATTCCCAGGACCCACTGGCCACCGGTCCGCCTGAGGCCTGCTGGAGGGTGGGGCTGGGAAGCCCACAATGCTACCCTGGCAACCACGGGCAGTTTCAGCCAGTGTAGGCACCAGCTCCCCTGGTAGGAAAGAGGTGCCCTCATCAGCACTCAGTGCCTGTACCCGGTTGCCTAGAGGGCTCCGGGCATTGCAGTAGAGGAAGTCTCCATCCACCGCAGCCAATTGGCACTCTCCAGAGCGCAGGTTGGGCACAAGGCCTCCACAGCGCCAGGAGATTCCGTGGTCATCACTGTAGAAAGCCAGGGAGTGGGGACTGGTCCAGCAGATCCTGCCAAAACACTCCCGACGGTCCACGTGATAGGTGTAAGCAGGAACAAGCAGGCGACCTGAGCGCAGCTGGACTCCGTGGCCTGGACCCACAGCAAAGGTGGCCCAGTCTACAGAGAGAAGGAGCCAGAACCTTGGGTTAGGTCCGCTGACTGCCGACCTATTCTGGACCCCCAATGCACCCAGAATGTGTGTAATGGAGTCTGTCAAGGCTGTCTTCAGAAACCTGGGAGCCTAATTGATCATGTGCTCTCTTAAAGTTTTTTTTAAGATGTATTTTTAATTATGCACATTTGGAGGGTGTGCACATGAATGTGGGTGCCCATAGAGGCCAAGGTGGCAGATGCCCTGGAGCTGGAGTTAGAAGCAGTTGTGGGCCACCCAATCCGGGTGCAGGGAACTGAACTCCAGTTCTCTGCAAAAGATATTAAGTCATACAAGCTCCTGGTCATCTCTCCAGCCCCTTGGCCACATGTTTTGTGTTTTGCCTTGGGATACAAAGCACAGAAACCAGGCCAAGCCAGTAGCCTACCACTGAGTCACTCCCCAGCTGTTGGCCAACAGCCACTTGGCCAAAGATCACCAACAGAGCTCAACCTCTGGAGCAATTGCTACACAAGGACCATAGAGGAAGGAGACCTCGGATGAGGTTTTTGATGAGTCCGGTTTCCTTGTCTACCTCTCAGAAGCTGCTATATCCCTCTATGTAGCACTCATGGGCCAGGGACCAGGTCCTATAGGCCCTAGGGTCACTGCCAATCAGCAGGGAGCAGGGTGGTAAATGAGCAACCGATCAGTAGGCCAGCAATTGGGTAGTAGGGGCTGCAGAGGGGAAAAAAAAAGACTGAGGCCCAGAAAACAAAAGACTGAAGTTCAGAGACCAGGGCTGGATGAGGAGGAGGTGAAAGGGAACAGAAAGTAGTAAAAGAGAGGGGTTGAAAAGTTAGGACTAAGAGCCCCAATCCTCTTCTCTGCCGACCAAGACAAGAGGAGCCTCTGGTGGGCTTAAGTTGCCAACCCTGCCAACACCTATTGGCCTGGTGTTGAAGGTGCTTGGGAAATGCCAGATGGTCCTAGAGGCAGGGTTAGGAGGTCATAGCTCGTGGGTGATGTAGGGCAAGAAACTGGGGATAGGAAGTAGCAAAGTGAAGATTTCCAAGTGGTTGGTGGACCTATGCAAGGGGCAAGCCCAAGCTCCCTTGAGGCCACGCCCATCTTGCCCTGTCCAGTTCCTACCCACCCCATCCCTCCACCCCATACCTCTAGCCCATCCCACACAAGGTGCCACCTACCCTGCAAGGCTGCACCAATGGCCTCCTCAGTAAGGTCTCGCACACTACCCCAGGTCAGGCCTGCATCACAGCTGGTCACACAGCAGAGCCGAGCAGCGTTCTTGCCTGTGGCAATCTGCACGGCCTCTGGCGTGTGGCCCAGCACGGCAATGAAGAAGAGGAAGATGGTACCCGAGTGTTCGTCCAGTACTGGGCAAGGGTTCATTGACCTGTGCTCCTCCAGAACCGCAGTCTCCAGCACAGTCAGGGTGCCCCACTGAGGGAAAAGAGGCAGCTGGTCAAGACATCTGGCCCCCCACCTCAGTGCCGGGGGGCCGGCGCCCCGGCGCGCGGGGGGGGGATCAATAGAACTGGGCTTCAGTTTCTGGTCTGCGCCTAACACTCACCCGCACTGAGCCCCTGGCCAGTGTGCCCCTCCGCAGCACCAGGCGGTGAGCATGGGAGTCATCGGGGCTAAGTCGCTGTTCTGCGAAAGCCAGCAAGGTAGGCCTGGGAGGCACACAGAGCAACGCAGGCACACGGTAGGTCAGGCCTGTCCTCTCCCGCTGAAAGAGCACGGTCCTTCTGGGAACACGCGGGGCTCCCATGCCCTTCAGGAAGGTGCGGGGCACCTGGAATCTGTGAGGGAGGAGGCTCCACAGATATACCTGACCACAAGCAAGCCCCACACCTGCCTGCCCATCTTGACGGTCCTTTTCACCTCCCTTGTCCCAGATTTCTCACAACCCATCCACAGGCCCCTCACAGCCTCGGCACCCCCAAATCCCTATAGAGCCCCTTCATTCTCTCCAAGCTGTTCCTTTGCCTGGCTGGCTGGTGCTGGGATGCTGGGGAGCTGGGCAGAGAGACCCAACATCCTCCCAGCTGGTGTGTCCTGGACACATATCACCACAGAACTCACCCACTGAGAGTATGGGCAAATGGATAAAGCCAGACAAAGAGAGAGAGAGAGAGAGATCAATGTCCACAAATACGGTATGTGAGACCAGGGAAGGCACACCACACAGCAGAGGCAGATGAACACTGGAACCTACCCACGTGGAAGCTGAAGGGAGCTCCAGAACTCTCCACAGGAAATAGCTTCAGACAAGGGAGATGGACCCACTGGCCCCTGGGCTGCCTGGCGGCTTGAAGAAGAGCGGCAGAGCTGTCTTCACCTGCAGCACATATACCAAGTGGCTCTCATAGGCACCAGAGAGAGCCAGGGGCAGCGCCGATCAAAAGGCAGCAAAAGGAAGGAAAGCCAAGGAGATCAGAGAGGTCCCAGCTTGGCCCTAAGCATCAGTGTAAAGGCTGGAAAAGTAGAGGAGTAGGGTGGACAGCATCCCAGGGCCAGGAGGATGCACTGAATGGGGATGGGCAAAGGTCTCTCCTTAGGGGCATCCACTGTCCCTGTAACCACCTCCTAACGTCACAAGCCAAGGATCAGACAGGCGACCATCTCTGTGTGATCGGTGATGCCTATGAGCAGCTTACCCCTTCTTGTCTGTCCCCTCCCCCCATGTGAACCCTCATCTATGGGGCCCTGAACTGTGGGACAGCTGGGAAACACTTCCACACGGAACTGGAGCCACAGGAGGGTAGTAGCCAGAAAGTCCCAGAGCGTGGTTCTTTACCACTTAGCCTCTCAAAGAAGGATCAGTGAGGGAGTAGTTTAGGGGCATGACCTGGGCCTGCCAGGGACCACTGTCCCATTTACAGAATGGCAGACCAGAAAGTAAGGGTATACAGCTGGTGTGGGGTTGATGGGAAGGCATGACAGGGGACGCATTACCTGCAGGACATGAACAGATCACCAGTCAAGCAGCTCATGGCCAGGTACCCCAGACCAGACCAGAACCAAACACACAGCCCACGCCAGCCACTCCTGACCAGCCCGCCACAAGTCACACAGAAGTAGCTAGCTCAGAGGGGAAGCCAAGCGATCAGGGTGCTAGCGTGGCACCAGGACAGAGCTCACAGACTAAAACCCAGGATAAAGAAGTAGAGGACAGTCACTCACATACAGCAACAGCAGGCTCCGCAGATCACAGAGGGCTATGCTGACCACCACTAGCTCCCAGTTTTTAGGTCCTCTGTGTCTATCAACCACAGTCCGCACCACAAGCTCCGTGATGCATGCTGTCCTGCTCACCCACTCCCAGCTCTGGGCCTTCTGAGCAGCTTCCCATCTCCTGGAAGCCCCCAGCTCTGCACTCAAAGGGCAATTGTGCCCAAGTAGAAGCAGGTGCAAGGAGCCACGTGTCCCTTCAGACTGTGCAGGCACAAGAGAGACATTTTCTCTGTATTTGGATGGCTTCCCAAAGCCTAAGACCACGGGGACTGTGAACACAGACTGCAGAAGCTGGGAGCCTGAGCCCACTCCCCAGTCTGGGAGCACAGAAGGACGGCGAGAGGCTCCAAAGACCACCAGGTCACTCCCATTGTACACAGGGGAAACTGAGGCCTACAGAGGGGACAGAGCTGTCATTCATTAGAGGCATCCTTTCCTGAGTCAGCTCTGGGTTTCCACGGAGCCTCGCTGCCCCAGGGAGACCTCGGTTGAAGAGCAGAAGCTGGACCTCCCCCATACCAGCTGCCCATGTGGCCCATTTAGTAAGTTCCAGGGACGGGGACTGTCCAGGAAAGCTGTGTTTCAGCATAGGCTCGTGCCATCCTGAGCCAAGTCTTTCTTGGGAGAAGAATCACAGAGAAGAAATTGAAGCCTCGGCTCTGGCAGAGATGGCCGCAGACTTCCTGTTACAGCTTGACCTGGCAAGCTGCTACCTCAAGTACCAAAGCCAGCCCACATCTTTACCTCCTACCCTCATAGGCCACCCCATGTTTTGACTTGTTGGCTTGATACCTTCTCGGGGTCTTTAATCTTGATTTTTCTTTAAAATAAACTACCTTTTTTGCTGTTTCACTTTGATTTGGTATCTATAAAGATTATGTGTATCAGCCGGAGAGACGGCTCCGGGGCAGAGCCCGAGGACCTGAGTTCGATTCCCAGCCCAGCACCGCATGTAGTTCTGTGACCATCAGTCAGCGCTGCCTGGTGACCTGCAGAACGACCCTCCCACGACCTCCCACGGTCCACCGTGGATCCACGTAGAGTAGTAGGCAAAAAAAAGAAAGAAAGAAAGAAGGAAGGAAGGAAGGAAGGAAGGAAGGAAGGAAGGAAGGAAGGATGGAAGGAAGGAAGGAAGGAAGGAAGGAAAGAAAAAGATTATGTGTATCTATAAATAACTTGGATCTATATAGTCAGGTATGGTGGCACGAACCTGTTGTACCATGGAAGGTTGAGCCAAGAGGATTTCTTGAGCCTGGGAGTTCAGAATCAGCTAGGAACATAGAGAGACACCCATCCCAAAAAAGGATGGCAAAAATAATCAGTGTAATGGTAGGTGCAAGTGAGAAGCCATCAGATGACAGAGGTTTCTCTCAAACACTAATAAAATTGTCTACGAGCTTCCCTCTGGGACCATTTATTAAATTCTTTTATGAACTTTTAATTCAACCCGATTAATGAATTAATCAATTTAAAAGAATTGTACAAATTCTTTTAATGAAATTAAACTAATGAATTAATTTAATTTAAAATGATTTCATAAATTCTTTTAATGAAACTAAGAATTTAATGGCACACGCCTTTAATCCCAGCACTCAGGAGGCAGAGGCAGGTGGCTCTCTGTGAATCTGAGGCCAGCCTGGTCTACAGAGTGACTTCCAAGTCAGCTAGAACTTCACAGAGGAAACTCTGTCTCAAAAAACAAACAAAACAAAAAAATTACTGAAAATAGCTAGAAAATAAATTATTCCCAACTGTGGTAGCTTGATGGCCCCCAAAGGGACAGGCACAGTAAAGAGAAACAGGCCATGAATCTGAGAGAGAGCTAAGTGGGAGTGCATAGGAAGGGTTGAGTGGAGAAAAGTGGAAATGATCTGATCATGTTTTTTATTTCCAGTATTTATTCAAGTAAAGTATTAAAAATAATGAAGGAAGGGGAGCATAGAAAAATATATAGCTCAATAAAAACAATAAAAAAAATAATAATAAACATTTGACCAGACTGATAGCTTATCCTGGAGAAATGTTAATTTGTCCTGCATTTTACTCCTGAATTATTTCTCCAGCAGCTGCCGGGCCTCAGCATGCAGTGAGACATTATCATGCTCCACTTCCGTGTTACCCACAAAAGGAAGTCAATTGCCTTTAATGCATCTGCCTTTACATAATTTATAAATTCTTAGTCTATCACTGAATGCACAGTTCGCTCACATAATGTTTTTCTGTTAGCAACAAGACTTTCCCGATGAAGGATTTGGGGCATGGTCTACATCCCATCACAAACTCCTCAATCCAGCGTTTGTTCCAGAGTGTTCTCCCATCCTTGGAGCTCTATTCTCAGAACACACTCTCCTCCACAAAACTTCAGCTCCAAACCATGTTACCAAGGAGAAAATAAGAATGAGTATAGCTTCCAAAAAAAGAAGAAACGGGAATTCTTTTTATAATTTATTTTTATTTTATGTGCATTGGTGTTTTTGCCTACACATATATCTGTGAGGGCATCAGATTCCCTGGAATTGGAGTCGCAAACAGTTGTGAGCTGCCATGTGGATGCTGGGAATTAAACCTGGGTCTTCTGGAAGAGCAGATGGTGCTCTTAACTGCTGAGTCATCGCTCTAGCCCAGGGATTTTTGATATAGCATAAAAAATTTTTCTTTAGCATTTATATTAAAAACAAACTAATAATTTATATATATATAATGTATCTCTTAAAGATTAAGAGGAGAGAAGCAAAGTTAAAGAAAGAAGTGATCAGTAATTATCTTTAGTTCTGACACAGCCTCTAAATACTTTTTAATATTTTATTAACTTTTTATTTATTTTTAATGTCTCTTAGTGTACATGTAGCTTTTAAAGCTTCTATTAATTCTTGCAAATTACCAATTCTATCATTTTGTTGGTTTTCTTTTTTCCACCAAAATAAAAGTCTGGTTTATTGAATCTAGAGAGATAAGACCCAGGGTTAAATTCCTTTACTGCTCTTGCAAAGGACCCATGTTCAGTTCCCAGCACCCACATGTCAGTTCCCAGCCATCTATAACTCCATGTCTAGGGCATTTAGCACCCTCTTCTAGCCTCTGTGAGCACCAGGCACCCACTCAGTGCACACGAGTGCACATGCGTGTGCATACATACACGCAAAACACTCATACACATAAATAAAAGTAAAATACTTTAAAAGAAAGAATAATTACAGTTTCCTATTGGAAATTGTTTCAAACATACATCAAACAAGCTAAAAAAAAATAAACAGTAACTTCATATACAAAAAAAAGAGAGTTTTCGTGCTAGCCTTTTTCCACCATTTCATACAAATAAACTACTTATATACAGTATGGAAACCAGAAATCGTTACTAAAATGCTTGGAAAACGATTTCATTGTTGCTGTTCAATGTGGTTTTTTTTTTCTCCTTTGAGATTATAATGAACGTGGTTATGCCACAAGTAAAATCAGAAGTAGGACATAGAGCCTGGTATGGGTGGCACAGGCCTTTAATCCCAGCACTTGGAAGCAAAGACATGCAGATCTCTGTGAGGTTGAGGCCAACCTGGTCTACACAGTAGTTCCAGGACAGTCTTTGCTACGGAGAGAGACCGTGTCTCAGAAAGCCAAAGGAAAAAGGAGAACGAACTTAGAATGCTTCTAAGGCTGGGTTAGTTACCTATTATCATTAAAAGTGGCTGGTGCCTAACAATATGTACAAAAATATAAAATGTAAATTTAAAAAATTCCTTTTAAGGTTTTTTTCCAAGACAGGGCTTCCTCTATGCAATAGCTTTGGCTATCCCAAAACTTTGTAGACCAAGCGGGCCCCGAACTCATTGAGCTCTACCTGCCTCTGCCTCACAAGCACTGGGATCCACCACCGTCCGGCCTTAAGATAGGTTTTTTTAAACGTGTATTTTTATTTTTGTGTATAAGTTTTTTTACTTATGCGTCAAAACATGTATGCGTACCACGTGTATTCTGGCTGAGTCCAGAAGTGGGTGTCAGATTCTCTGGAACTGGAGTTAAAGATGCTTGTAAGCCACATGAGTACTAGGTACCCCCAAAACTGGGTCTTCTGTAAGAGTACCAAGATCTCTTAACCTCTGAGCCATATCTCCATCCCCTCTTTTCAAAACATTTGTAGGAAAAAAGAAAATGGAAGTTTGGGTTCTTTTCCCTCCCTGTTGCAAGTTTCACAGTCTGATCATTTGTGGGCAGCACTGCCCCCTACAGGCAGGCAGTTGGATCAGCCCCTCTAATCAAAAGTGGCATTTAGAGTCTGAGACCCACAATGGAGGGTTGACTAGGTCACGGCGGCCTTTTAAATCTAACATTTTCTTTTTCGCTATTTAGTCATCCTATCGGTCTTTTGCTTCTTGATCACCTCGGCTGCCCACTAGCCCGTAGCTGCCTCAGCTTTTCCTCCTCATCACGGTCCTGCCCCCCGCCCCCACCTTCTTCCTCTTCTTCATCGGCCTCATTGTGCTCTCCCATTTTACTCATTAGCATCCCATGGGCAGGGGCAGCTCTTCTAGCCTCTGCCACTTCCACAAGTCCTTGGTGTGCACTGCACGAGTTTGCCTCGGAGCTGGCATCTATAGTTTGACTTGGCAGGGTCCAGTGATCCAGTGCAGCGGGGACAAAAGAGAACAAGGGCTGGAGAACTCTGGCAGGAAGGCTGCTCGGTGCAGGTGGCTGCAACAGGAAAGGAGCCTGACCCTGGAACAATCCATCCAAAAACGACACTCTGGAGCGCCCCGTCGTGACTTCAAATCTTAATTCAAGTAGGCTACCCATTTATGATTTTTTTTAATTATTGCCCAGGACTGCTAGACTTTTGTTTTGTTAAGCACACAAAATAAGTCAATATAGAAATAGTGAATCTTGTTAGATTTTTCCCATTTTTTTTTTTTTAAAAATATTTGTGAG